TTGTCCTTGGCTGAGTCGGGAGTATAACACTTGTTGGTAAACTTACATCAGGCATGTGCACACAATGCCTTGTCTACTGCAGCTGATGCTGAATAATCAATGCTTCTATGCTGGTGGTGTTAGCATCAGTAAGGAGACTGGCATTTATGCAATAATCCTTTCACTTTATGCCAAGGGTCTTTCAGAGGTAGCACTGCTGAAGGTGTTCCAGGCTTTTCAGGTGGTCCCTGTAGGCCACCCAAGCTTCACAGCCATAGAGGAGAGTTGGGATTACCACAACCTAATATAATAGGAGCTTTGTTCAAGTCCTGATGTTGTGATCATTGAACACATGACGATTCAGTTTTCCAAAGGCAGAGCTGGCACACTGGATCCTATACTGGATCTTCTCGTCAATGTTGGCCTATTTTAAGAGAGAGCTGCTGAGGTATGCAAAGTGCTCAACATTCTCCAGCTCCTATTCATTAATAAGGATCTCCGTCGGGGAAGTTAATTGGTCTGGAACAGGCTGGTGAAGCACTGTTGTTTTTCTAATGTTAAGGGTCAGTCCCAGGTACTGGTATATTTTACAGAAGCAGCTAAGGGCTGTTTGTAGGTGCTCCTCAGTATGCGCAATGTCACAAATGAGCATCTTGATGACTGAAAGATGAAAAAACAACTGGTGCGATCCAACAGCCCTGCTTGACACCAGTTCAAATGGCAAAGGGCTCCATAGTGGAGCCACTGCATAGGATGCAGGCATTCATCTGATCATGAAGGAGTCTTATCATGGTGATAAATTTCACTGGGCAGTCAAACTTTGATATGATCTTCCCATAGAGCCTCACGGTCATCAGTCGAAGACTTTGGGTCCTGGCGGTGGTGTTGGCATTTTTCCTAGATCTACCAGGTCACAAAAACCATGTCCATGATGCCTCTTGATGATCTGAAGCCACATTGAGACTCAGGAAGGATTTCCTCAGCAAGAGGGAGCAGTTGGTTCAGCAGAACTTTAGCTAGGATCTTCCCAGCAATGGAGAGGAGGGCAATACCTCCATAGTTTCTACAGTCAGACTTCTCCCATTTTTAAAATGGTGACAATATTGGCATTCCTTAGGTTCCTTAGCAGTAATTTCCTTAGTGTTCCAAATTTTAAGAAACAGTCTGCGGAGTTTGTTGGTCATAGTTTCCCCACCAACTTTGAAGACCTCAGCTGGTATGCCATCAGGGTCAGAAGCTTTGTTGTTCTGCATCTGTCTTATCACCTGGTGGACTGGCAAGTGCTTCCCTTACTGGATGCTATGGATGGATTTGATAATTTCATCAGTCACTGTCAATTCTCAGTTCAGGAGCTTTTGGTAGCGCTTCTTCCAGTGGTTTCTGATGGACTCGTCATCTTTGAGGACTGTACTGCTATCTTCAAATCTAAGCGGGGTGAGTCTGCAAGACTGGTCTGTATGCAGACTCGACTGCACTGAAGAAGTATGACAAGTATGTCCTGATGATTAACAAATCGTTGGATTTCTTTCGCTTTCTCTTCCCACCATTTGTTCTTGATTTCTTTAATCTTCCTCTGGGCTTCAGCTTCAAGCCTCAAAAAGTTCCCTGCTTCTGACTGGACATAGGATGGTTTTGCCAATCAAAGAAAGCTTCTCTCTTCTGATTGAAAAGAGCTTTGATCTCAGCGTTGTTTTCATCAAACCAGGCCTGATAGCATCGGGTGATAAAGCTAGTTCTATGAAAGCCTCATGGATGGTCTCTTTTAAAGCTTACCAATCTTCCTCAACAAGTATTATCATTTTCAATCCTAAAATTGGTGAGTTTCTTACTGAGATGTGTTTGGAGGGCTTCACAGTTGCTAGGGGTCTAAAGGCATTTGATGCTGTACCATCTTTGGACTGATCTGCGTTGCTTTTCGATGTTTCAACACAACCCTGATGGACATGACTGGTCAAGCAGTTATCACCTCCTCTCATGACACGTGTGATATGGAAGTCTTTAAGATCACACACTTTTACAATAACAGTCAAGGATGTACCATTGTTTCAAGCAGTGGTGTTGCTGCCATGTTGCTTTGTACTTATCACATTGTTTGAAGATAGTGTTAGTAATGACAAGGTCATGCTCTGCACATTTACTGGGTAAAAGAATGCCATTGGAATTGGCCTTGCCCACTCCTTCCTTCCCAAAGGTGTTCCTCCACATGTTAAAGTCCCAGCCAACTCTCACGCTGAAGTCTCCAAGGAGGATGATCCTGTCCTCTTTCAGGATGGTGGTCAGGATTTCATCAAGGTCAGCACAGAACTGTTCTTCCTTGGCAATGAGTGCTGGGGCACATGCACTGATGATGGTAGCAAATGAACTGTTGATCAGTGGGAGGTGCAGAGTAATGAGGTGCTTGTTAATGCCAACAGGCAATTCAGTCATTTGGCGGACAATTTGGTTCTTAATGGTGAAACCAGTGTCATGTATTCACCTGTCATTTGCAGGTTTTCCTTTCCAGAAGAATGTGTATAACCATCCTCCTCCTCCCTCAGTTAGCCCTTGTCTGCATGTCTGGTGTCACTGAGAGCAGTGATATTGATGTCTTATGATAGTTCTCAGGCAACAATAGCTATTCAGGTTGTCTAGTAGGGTTCTTACATTCAAGGATGCAAAATTCATTTTTGTGTTTGATGGCAATTAGTGATCCCCCTGGAAGCAGCAATCTAGTCAGGTAAGGTAAAGTGGGACAGCCTATGTTTAGGGCACTTTTTTTAGCCCCCATGCCACATGGGGTGAGCAGAGGGGATCCTAAAAAGGACTACTCAGTCGCAACCACAGCTGTTGAATTACCCTTCTGTCCCATATCAAGGGTGAGGCAACCACCACACAACCACCGCCTGCGTATCAGTCTGTGACTAGGGACTCCCAGCGACCACTCTGTCTGTCCCTGTTGCCACTGGTCCATTGCCGCAGGACTTTGTAGAAGTTATGGTATTCTTACTGGTTATTGTAGTAGATGCTGGATCAGTAGGAGAAGCCTGTGCATGACTTGTTTTAAGTGACGAGGCCATTGTGCCTCAGCAACCGCACGGATTTTGGCAGAGGACAAACCTGTACCTGGTGGCAAGGAGGTCCTAGACAACTGGGGTTACTCTTCCACTGCAGCCTTCATCTACCTTCACAGCCATTGAGAAGTATTCCTTCTGCATCTGCCTGCTCCACCCACTGAGGTCTTGTATTGTGTTCGACTGCTCTTTGTCTGGTACCTCATCTTTGACCTTACCACCATGGGTGACCCTACCAAGAGTACAAGATGCCTGTTGCTGTTGCTCTTCGGGTTATCAGTACATACAAGCCTCTCCACCCCATCAAGGTGGCAGCCCATGGAAACGTGACTTGGAGATAAACCCTTTAACACTGTACAAAATATTGTTTTTAAATAAGACCTTCCTTGCGTGGTAATACTTTAGAATTTTTAATAACTTTCCTTCTATTCTTACTGTTCCTTGGGTTTTATGTTACAGATAGCAGTAATTAGTGAAATACTGGAGAAAGAAACATCAGGATGTGAATAGATGGGGAAGACAGGACCATGAAATTCAGTGTGCAATTCAACATAATGCACTTTGGAGGGAATAATCTGAAGTATCTACACACACTGCTGGATTCTCAACTGTAGCCTTTCTGAACAGAAGCTGGAGGTTAGTACAGAAAGCAGATTTAATTGCTTCTTTGCACTACACAGATGTCAAAAAGAAGCCTTAGTTCCTCTAAAGAACATTCAGTATATGATACCAAGTATTATAAGTCTATTGAAGTCAATGGTATGCCCTGATTGAATGCCAAATTCAGGTCACATCCCCTACTTCAAAAGTACTATTGTAGATGTAGAAAGGGACTTAAAAGGCATGGATTTCTGCATGAGAAACTCAAAACACTTTGATTAATATCTCTAATCATTAAGATGATTAAAATATAAGTGATAGAGGTTCACAAAATAATTAATGGCTTAAATCATAAAAACAATCATTATAATAATCAGGTGCTCCTATTACCTCTTCCCAAGGGTCAGGAGACATCCACGAGAAAAGATTTAAAACTGACGAAAAGAATGACTTCGTACACGTATAATTAACCCAGTGAAATCTAACCCGCAAGGTCCTATTATTGCATGACTACCTCAAAGCCTCTCTCACACACACCCTTCCAAACTAAAAAGGTAGTAAGTATGTTTGAGCATACCACTGTATACCATGGTGAGTCTGCAATTTAGACATGTCTACTAAGGCCAAATGCTTCATAAAATTCAAAAGAATTTTCATTAATATAAATATCGAAGAGCTACAGTTACGTTAGATGGAAATAAAATTGTAACAATAAACCCCCATGTTTCAGGGTAATCACTAACTGATGGCATTAAGACAAATTTCTTATATGAGCAGTAGTAAATAAGAGTTTACCAGCAGAGTCTTCTGAAGCACTGGATACAGATCCAAGTCAAAAAGGGTTATTGAATTAGGTGCTAACACGATTTCTATGTTCTTAATTTGTTCAAATACCAAACCCCCTTGTTACAAGTCAGCATTTGCTTGCACAGAGCATTCTTTTTAACACCATCTAAACATACACCTGTATAGCCAGGGTCAATATTGAAACTAATCATGATGAAATGAAATATTTATCATAGACACGTTCTAGTGCTCAGAACTAATTTCAAGCTTTTTTGGTTTGTTTGTTTTAATCTCTGGTACACCAGCCATTTTCAAATATAAGTTATATTAAAACAAAATAAAACCCATTCTTGAAATCTCTGTTCTAGCCCCCTACCTCTTTTAAAAAAATAAAAACATACAAAGTTTTCCTATATGAAGTTCCTCTTTATTATTCCAGCTTCCTCACTTTACCATCAAAGGTATCAAAACTCTATGCATCTTTACCCCCAGTTAAGACAGAAAAATTTCTTATTAAATGAATAAGTGTTCTTCTACATTTATTACACAAAAAAGAAAGCATACAATACAATCTAATTTTTGTACCTGGCATTAATGTTCCTCTTACTTCAAAGGTAACTTGGGAAGGAGTCATGCTTGCAGGTATTGGCTAAGGATAGCTGATGTTACCTGAAAGAGGGAGGGGGGAAAAGGTATATTAGTGTTCAGTAAAAATATGCTACTTCTGAAGCTCTGCCAGTAAGAACCAAGAGCAGAAATTTCAGCTGTTCCATGTGAGCTGTAATGTGTTGAGCTCAGCTGCACTCCAGCACCCATCCAACCAAAAAGCTAACCAGATCCAGAAATCGTCGTCCAGTCAAAAAGGACAGAAGTGTGACACTGGGGCCACCTACACAATTCAGGAAGGTCCCACTGCAGTTACTCAGGAGTTCTTTTACTGGAGACATGAAATAAGATGCACTGACCTATGACTTACTATTGTTAAACATCCAACTCCCTAAGATATCCTTCACTCTCACCTTCAAAGCAACTCAAGAGGAACTTAACAGTGAAGCAGGAAGTCAGTTAAAATAAACATAATTCTATAGCAAACACTAGCAAAAACAACCAGAGCTCCCTTGAAAAGGCACTATTTACCTGAAAAAAAATGTGGATGGAACAAAAACCTGAGTTCTTAATAACCAAGTGGTCTTATTTTAGAGGAATAAAACAAAATCACATTTACTCAGAATTTCTGATTATTGAAACATTACCCACTCTTCACCACAGTATCATAAACTTGTGTAGCATTTTAAAAGATGAGCAAAAGACACCCTGGATTTGAAGAGCTTGCTCTCAAGACTCCAGATCTGTAAGAATCTCTGCCCAAGCAAATCTATGGGGCTGTATAAAACCCGACCCAAACAGGGCTCTGCTTGCCTGTAGCTGCCTTCAGACTCCTTAATAAGAATATAAATGAAGAGACTGTTATAAGTTTAAAAAAACAGCAGAGGAAGCACAACAGTGACAAAATATAGTTGCTTTAGCTGATAAAGGTGTGTACCTTGGGAAACAAGACACAAGATAATTCCCACATGGAGGACAGGGGGTCAAAGAGAAGTAACACAAGAAAACCAGGCTGTACTGAAAAGATTGATTTGTCCATCACTCCATCAACTGCATATTATAGGGCTGACTCTGCTAAGAACTAAAACCAGGAAAAGATCTGGATTATCATCATCTCTACTCCAACTGTAAAGTTCTTAGTGGCAACCCTGCAGTCCAAGATTCATAGAATTTAAGGTCAAAGGGACAAAAGATCATCTAGTCTGTATATAACAGGGAGTAAAATTTCAACCAGCTATCCTGTACTGAGTGCAGAAGTATCTGCTGGCTGAAGTATTTCTTTGAGAAAAAGAAATACCAAGTCCAGATTCGACAAGATTGAGTAAAATATCCTTATGCTTGCGATACTCCAGGGTTTTCCTGCTTGTGGTCCCCACTTTTCTTCCTTAACATCTGGGTCTGAGGCTCCTTACTCCACATACCATTTAGACTTCTTTTCTATTCCTTTTTTGTCCCATTACAACTCACCCCTCTTTCTGTGTCATAGGAGGAAATTTCACTTAAGAGTAGGGTGAACATACATCCTGGATTGGCCAGGACAGTCTTGGATTTCGCAAGCCATCCTCGCTCAGCTAAGTAGAAGCAATGGCAGCAGTTCCATTCCTGGCTGGGTCAAGGCCAGAGCCAAAGGCAGGCAGCAAGAGTGGAGAGGTGGCCTCCCCTGCACTCCCCACACACCACCCATGCTGCAGGTCTCTCCTCTGTGCATCCCTCCACATCCAACTAATCCACCCTTCCCCACCACGTGAGCCAGCCCAGCCTGGGGAATATGGTGGTTCAGCTCTGGCTTTTGTCCCAAGGCCCAGAACTGAGCCACCACCTGCCCCAAGCCAATACCTGAATCTAAAACAAGGTTTACCATCCCAGTGTTGACTTGGGGGAAAAAAACCTGTCTTGGATTCAAGTAAATATGGTAATTCTAAAGACTGGCCAGTAAACTCTCATTTGAAAAAAGCTTTGCAAAAGGCTGAAAGGCATCTACCACAGAGAACACCTCAACCCGCACAGGAAAGGCATACAGGTTTCTCTTGCTTTATGTGGGTTCTGTATGTGCAAATTCACCCTTATGCAATTACCCTTTTTATACCAAAGATGCATTATATGCAAGGTAAAGTCACTCTTATGTGATCGGTGTGGTAGAAGCCTGCAGTTAGCTGCTTTCTGCAGTGCATTGTGGGAGTAACATGCACCAAAATATAGTCTCCTGTGTGGATCTGTGCTCCTTGTTCACTGTCTGCGACATGCACTTCTGTAGTTGTCATCCCCATTATGATAGTGTCCTGTGCTTGTGTGTACTGTTGGCGAGTACCAAAATTGCCTTGTAAAAGTGGTAGAACTGGGTCTGAGGGTCAGTACAGTTGAGGTCTTGGAACTATCCTTATTTGTTACATTGTAAAGTGGGTTCCCTTTATGCGAATATGAGTTATGCACCATTTTCTAGGAACACACGTACAGCGTAAAGCAAGGGAAACCAATACTTGGAAAGAAAAGAACTTGGGTTTTATGCTATCAAACAAAGAAAATGGATCATATTCAGTAGTAGTATCACAGATAAAGAATTCCTTGCCAGTGAAGCTGACTATTCACAAACCTAACCATGTTTACATCCAACAAACCTGCACCTTATTCTCAAGAAATCTTTCCTTTAGGAACAATGCATATAAGCATGTAGCCCAAAACAAAATTCACACACCAGGGTTCATGCAATTAATATTTTCAGATTTCAATTTCCTTTTCACCTCACATTACTACATCAAAATCCTGCTCCTGTAAAGTACTAAAATATTATTCTGTATCTGTACAGTATTCCATACATTCACAAAGCATCATAAACAACAACATTCTGTAACTTGGAAGCAAACAAAGTTCAATTCCTTTAAACTCCTAGAAGGGAACAGAAAAAGCTTCCTAGCTAAAAGTTCTAATTTTCTGGTTAACAGAAGTGAATTCATTTTACAAGCCCTGGACTTCTGTGCATGCACTAAATTCTTTAGCCCATTAAGAGCTAACAAAGAATTCCTATTCCTCACAGCTGTGAGGAGCCTCAGTTTGAGGAGCCTGAAGAATCACTGGGTCACAGCAAAACAAAACTAACTTCTCTATGCAGCTGGGACACGTCTAGAACCATTCATTACTTCACAATTTTTCAGGCAAGTTTCCTGATTCCAGTTAACAAACCTGCTTCAACACAAGCTAAAAGGCCAGTTTACAAAGGCATTCAAAGCTATATTAGAAAGGATTTTCAAAAGGTGATAGAAACTTAGTAAAAAATGAATAGTTTTAGAGCTATACTGTCTAGCACGTCCCATGTTTATCATGTTTCATGTAACAGAACTGACCTTCATCAGACATGGGATAACCTACAACAAAATTCAATGCTTTCCCTTTGAAAGTGGGGGTCTTATCCAAGTAGATATTTATACTCAATATATACCTAGGTCCCTTGCTTCCTATTAGCAAGAGAGAAGAGATTCTTTCCCCAACAGACCAAAGATCCATCACAACACACTCCCCTTCCTGCCCAATGCAAATCCTCACCTTTACAATTTATGGAGGCTTCCCAAGGAGATCTTTGTTCTACAGAGGCAGAACAATGAGGGAGTCTAGCTAGGCTCCTCTGCTGTACTGCCTTCAAGAACCTGACTCAGAAAACCCTGCCCATCATCTCAATCCCATTGGACAAGATGGAGCTTGATTGGCAGGATTTCCAGAGCAGGAACAAAGCCGTCAGTGCAGTGCAATGTGGACTAAATTGAAATCTGAGTGCCCTTCCTTCCTTTATTACTGCGTGATAAAGGTCTCTTTATGAGTGCATGTTTGGGAGAAAGCAATGAGAAACCTTATAGTTTCAAAGAAAAAGTAAAATGAGAAGCTCATTTTTATTCCTTACACCTCCACAATAAAACAGGCATACAAATAAATGTACAGTAGCCTGTCAACTACAAGGAATGAACAAAATATTTTGTGTTTGCTTTTTAACTTTAAGATACACAGACAATGGCTACTGTAATAATCTATATACCTTTTCTTTACTAGTTCTTTGCCTCACTAACATCTTTGAAGGGCACAAGGGAATTGCAGAAGTCTGCTTTTATATTTTTGATAGGCTTAACAAATAAAACACTCCTAAATTTCTTTCCCTTTCATCTCAAGTGACTACTGCAAGAAGCAGGGACCCATGAATTTAAGAAGAGGTGTCATGAAGGAGAAGGAAGAATCCCTCATTTTCTTGTTAGCAATGGGATCAACTGTGGATGCACCACAGTGAAACATATCTATACACATTTTTTGACTAGATTTCTGGTCCACCTTTGTTCTCTGGCAGTACTTTTTTTCCTATCTCCAGATTTCACAGGAATTACAATTAAACATTGGACACTTATATAGAGCACAACAGGATGTCAGACAAATAGGTACCAAACTAGCTTGAGAACTGGAAGCAACCCAGGCATGTTAGCATAATGGTCTCACTAGAGTTAGTTAATGTGGCTTTACTGCTTCTGACACCAGAGCCAGCTTAGCGATCTCTAAAGCATTCCACTTTGCCATGCAGACATGATTGGAATGCTGAGCAACAGCGAAATGTTTCTCTTGACAGAGATTAGGTAGGCAACATAGGACATCTTTACACATGCTTCAGAGGTGGGGATGCAGGGAAAACACTTTAGAGCGGCTCTTGGGAGCTACTCTAATTAAAACACACACAGCATCTTGTGTATTGTAAGTCCCACACTTCAAAATGCCGGTGGGGGCACTTTAGCCAAAGCTTGTTCAACAAGCTTTAGTTATAAAGCACACCTGCCATTTTGAAGCATGGGGATATTGAATACATGAGAAGCCAATGCTGCTGCAGCATGCTAATTAGCACACTCCAGCAGATTTGATCAATCAAGTCTGCTCTGATGCGCTGTAATTGTCGAAGCAAACATCCTGCATGTCTACAGGCACCCAAAAAGACATTAACTTAAACACACTGCTTTTTCTTAATACAGACACCATGTCAGAAAAAACCAAACATACAACCAAACACACTATAAAATCCAGCATAAACCCACTTCTCTGTC